ATTTATTAGAAAAACGACCTTGTTGGAGAGAGGTCTCCAGTTACACTTCATCCTGCCAACAAGACTAAAATCATTTCCGTTAGTCGGGAAGCGTTAACGCTAGACCTCAGATTTCGGAGGCGATCCTCCGGTGTGTTCTTTCGTAGCGTATATAGATCTGGCCGCGCAGTGGATGGAATATTTAGAGGTATATGAATTTATAGTTGACACTAAAGAACGAAGGTTTGTCTATGAAGATTGAGTGAACATTCATTGAAGTAAACGGGCTTTCGGAATCCAGACTTCAGAATTCTAGGAAATGTAATAAGCTCATAAGTGATCACACCGATAAACAGGGAGTTGGAGAACATTGAGCTACTCCTCAGACCAAGTTCTTTGACACAACTTGAAATATTTCTTGGTTTAATTAACTTTTGTCATCAGTTCATACCAGTTTGTTCTCAACCAACTAAATAATTGGCAGATTATCGTGATGGAAAACCGACAAATTTAAAGTTGTCTTCTGAGGATATTGAAGCTATTTGAGCTAAAGAATAAGCCAGTCTCCGAAGACATTACTCACTGAACTTAATAGTAGATGTTTCAGAGAAATCCGAAAGCGGTCAAAAAATGAGAAACAACCGACCAGGTTGTTCTAGAAAGGGCTCGCCATTCACCAAATCATCAAGCATTTTTGGCAATTTTCGGAAGACAGGGTATTCATTACCTACATAGATCAGAAACCCCCGACCAAAGCACTGGAAACTAAAATCGATAAACAATCGGCCCGAGAGATCCGACAACTTGACTTTATATTACTGTTCACCAGAGACGCACAACGTGCTCAAGGTCAGGAAAATTTGACTGCAGATATATTATCTCAAATGGAGATGGATATAAACAACCGACCATATATTTTGAAACCTTAGTAGATAGCATGAGTGTAAACTTATAATAACAAAGTCTACATTTAAGGAAAAAAATTCAGTCCAAAAATGACCCAGATTCCGCTGCTTATTCAAGAAACTACCGACCTACAGTGGATATACTGCAACTCCATTGCCGTTCACACAAGTGTCAAAAATAATATAAACGAATGATTTCCTTTCAACCAGTAACCATAACAGGACATGACTTTATGCACCTACCCCTTAAATTCGCCTATTTCATGCTCATTATAACTCCACCAGTAGAACCTTCAGGGCTACTGCCGGTCCCAAGCCCGGATAAGGGAGGAGGGTTGGGTACGGGGTTGGCGACCCCATCCCACCAAAAAACCGCTAACCAGAAAAAGGAATCCAAACCATTTTAACTCTCCCCTGGGAGTCGGAGGAAGAATTATGACGTCACATAATGAAAGCCGAGTTTCCCCGGAAGTCACGAGGCTGATGCCCCTTTTGACGACCGGAGCAACCATTCTTTTAGGTACATGGAACGTTCGTACATTAAGGGAGACCGAAAGACTATTTCAAGTTGCGGCGGAAATGAAAAGATATAACCTGGAGGTGCTCGGCATCAGTGAAACGCATCGGACACAGGTAGGACAACTGAGACTAGCTTCAGCGGAACTCCTGTTATACTCTGGTCATGAAGAGGAAAATGCTTCACATACACAAGGAGTTGCACTGATGCTGTCCAAACAAGCACAAAAGGCGCTGATAGGATGGGAATCTCATCGACCCAGGATCACTAAAGCATCCTTCGAAACAAAGAAAGAGGAAATTACAATGAACGTCATCCAATGCTATGCACCTTCCAATGACTACAATGACGATGTTAAAGATCAGTTCTACGAAAGCCTGCAGTCAATCGTCGACAGATGCTCATCAAAGAATTTGACGATTCTAATGGGAGACCTGAATGCCAAGGTTGGAATGGACAACACTGGATATGAAGACATCATGTGACGACATGGACTGGGAGAAAGGAGCGAAAACGGTGAGAGATTTGCAAACCTATGTGCCTTCAACAAACTGGTCATCGGTGGCACAATATTCCCGCACAAACGCATACACAAACTACATGGATTTCACCAGACCACACTACTCAGAACCAAATTGACCATATCTTCATCAAGAAAAGTTTCAGAAGGACCGTGGAGGATGTGACATAGCCTGACATAGCCTCAGATCACCACTTTTCGGTCACCGAAATGAAACTGAAACTACAGAGGCACTGGACAACGGGGCAAACAACATCACAGAAGTTTACTACGGCCTTTCTTCTGGATACTGGAAAACTCAACGAATTCAAGATAGCCCTTAGCAATAAGTTCCAGTCCATGCAGGATCTACTCGATGGAGAGGAGACAGCCATGTAGAACAATTGGGAAGGGATAGAGGAGCCTATCACCTCAACATGTCACGAGGTTCCGGGTCACAAGAAGCACTATTACAAAGAATGGTTCTCTGTTGGTACTCTTGCAAAGATTGAAGAAAGGGCAGCAATCAATGTCAGCCGAATAAGAGCAGAGAAAGTTAAGGCATAAGCTGGATACACGAAAGCAAACAGGGAAGTGAAGAAGAGCATCAGAGCTGACAAACGAAAATATGTGGAAGATCTAGCAATGACGGCAGAAAAGGCTGCAAGAGAAGGAAACGTGAGACAATTGTACGAAACAACAAAGAAGCTCGCCGGAAACTATCGTAAACCAGAACGACCAGTGAAAAACAAGGAAGGCAAAGTAATCAGCAACACTGAACAACAGCGAAATAGGTGGGTAGAGCACTTACAGGAACTATTGAATCGACCAGCTCCACTGAACCCACCCAACATCGAAGCAGCATCCACGGACCTCCCAATTAATATTGGCGCACCTACAATAGAGGAGATCAGCATGGCCATCAGACAAATCAAGAACCGCAAATCAGCAGGACCAGACATATTCCAACAGAGGCAATGAAAGCAGATGTGGAAGCAACTGCGAAAATATTTCACATTCTCTTTAAGAAGATTTGGGATGAGGAACAAGTACCATCAGATTGGAAAGAAGGATACCTGATCAAAATACCAAAGAAAGGCGATCTCAGCAAGTGTGAGAACTACAGACGCATCACTCTTCTTTCAATACCAGGCAAAGTCTTCAACAGGGTATTGTTAAACAGAATGAAGGACTTCGTAGACTCCTAACTTCGAGATCAACAGGCCGGATTTCGTAAGGATCGATCGTGTACTGACCAAATCGCTACATTACGGATCATTGTGGAACAATCAATTGAATGGAACTCACCACTCTACATCAACTTCATCGACTACGAGAAAGCATTCAATAGCGTGGATAGGAAAACACTATGGAGGCTTCTTCGCCACTACGGTGTGCCTGAGAAAATAGTCAACATCATACGGAATTCATATGATGGATTCAGCTGCAAAATCGTGCACGGAGGACAGCTGACAGACGCGTTCGAGGTGAAGACCGGTGTCAAGCAAGGTTGCTTACTCTAACCTTGCTCCTGATGATCGAAAGAATTATGAAGACGTCGACATCTGGAGGGAAGCATTGCATTCAGTGGACAGCTAGGACGCATACATACATACATAAAGGGGAAAGTAGGATTCTACGATACAACACAACATGCGTCAACCAAATTACTCTTGATGGAGATTCTTTGGAGGATGTTAACATATTTACATATCTGGGCAGCATCATCGACGAGAAAGGTGGATCCGATGCAGATGTGAGGGCGCGGATTGGCATATCAAGGGCTACATTCCTGGACTCCAAACAAATATCAATCAACACCAAAATCATGATTTTCAATACAAATGTCAAGACAGTTCTACTGCATGAAGCGGAAACATGGAGAACTACCAAAGCCATAATCCAGAAGATACGAGAATCTATGAACAGTTGCCTACTCAAAATACTTCGGATTCGTTAGCCAGATACTATCAGCAACAACGTACTATGGGAGAGAACAAACTCGATTCCAGTGGAGGAGGAAATCAGGAAGAAGCGGTGGAAGTGGATAGGACACACACTGCGAAAAGCACCTAACTGCATCACAAGACCCTCAAGGTCAAAGGAAAAGAGGAACTCCAAGGAACACATTACGCCTAGAAATAGAGAAAGACATGAGAAGAATGAATAAAAACTGGAAAGAACTAGAAATGGAAGCCCAGGACTGAGTTGGCTGGAGAAAACTGGTGGGCGGCCTATAATTCATTGGGGGTAACAGGCGTAAGTAAGTATGTAAGTATTAGTCATTGTAGTAACGTTATTTTCCTACATAGACATTCATATCACTTTGAAGTTTTATTTAAAATGGACAGGTAAATTGAAAAACCTGTAGATGCCGCTCAACTGTTGTTGACTGCGAAAAAACCCGAGATATGCCAAATAATCGTGGGTTTCTTGAAGTTCATAAATTACCAATTTTCGAAATTCTAATTTCCCCAAATTATCGCCTCACTCATGAATGTTTAAAACTATTTTCCTTGATATTCTTTTACTTTCTGCCTATGCTTGCTTTCTCTAAACTAGCTATTAATTGAACTACTTCTTATAAATTATACCGTTAGTTAAATAATTATCGGTATGGTATGTTACATGAATATATAACTCATCACACAGAAGCTCGAGATTTTTTTTTCCTTGTAACATTTTCTATTAGAGAATTGCCAATAAACACTACGAGAACTGCAGCTAACATTTTCAGGACAACATATGTTTGCGAACATGTACATTTTTTGAGCAATAATCAATATAACATGTGAATCGTCAGCAGGAATGATTTTAGTCAACCTAAGCAAAATTCTTCAGTCAAGGCAGTGCTTATGTGCATTGAATGAAATCAAGGGAAATAGCAAATGTTAAAAAACTCTCCAACAAATAAATTTTTATCTAAACAAGGTGAACTGATCACAGTTTCTAGACTATCTGATAATAAATTTGGGTCCAACATATCTTCACCTCGCTTGTCTTCTGAAATAAACTCTACTGCAATACTCCGAAAAAGCTCGCAAGCTAAGAGCGAATTACTTGTCCAATCGATTCTCCCATCGAGTCATTAACGAGTGGAGCTGATTACGTCATCACATTATTGAAGCTCCTGTCGACGCGTTCAAAATCTTACGCTACCAACTCCTAGTTTCGATTATCTGTTTGTTATAAGCTCATGCTTGTTCTATTCCTGATTGTTCATCTCTTTTGTGATTAAAGGTGAGTGAATCATATTTTATTCCAGAATCGTCTGCCCTTGCTTTCTCTTGTTATTTTCCCACGTAGATAATCTCTCGCATTACTCACACTCATCACACAAGGCCCCTTCAGGCTTGACACAAACTTACCTAAGCTGGTTTTACATCACTATGATGTGCTGAAGTCTGCTTTCGGTTTCAACTCTGGTTCTTATATTGCTCATTTTCATTTTCAATATTACCTTTGTCTCTCTTCGGTTTTTTGGTATGCAAATGTCGATGATCATTTCAGTCTCGATGTGCTTAAACGTCATTGATCGCTAATCCTTCCGGTAAATATCTTGATCAAATAGTGATAGTCTACGTGAAACCTAAGACGTTTGGATTCTTAGCAATCCGGAAAGAACGTGAAAAAAATATTCCTCAAGAAAATTAGTAGGGAAAGCCACAATAAGTCGTCTTGGTCTCCGTCATAGTAAATAGTGAGACTTTCTATTTTAGTTCCCCTAGATTGGAAGTATCGCTGGATTTAAAACGTTGCGTAAATCTACGCAATATATCAACTCACCATCCAAATAAAGTAGTGAATCTTCATCAGTTGAGGTGGATGGGATGTTACGAATGCTCAACCTCGACGAACGATAATTAGTGTATTTTTAGGCTGGGAGAAATTTATGTCTTCACTAGCTGACTGACTGACAACTATTGATAAACATCTGTATCTTAAGGACTATGTTTTGTAGTTCTCGAAATTTCTGCTCCTTGAGATAGGACGGTTTTGACGTTCGAACTGAAACTTGTGAATTTGGTGTTGGCTGACGGCTGTTGAGTTTCGGATGTCCTTTAGTTGTAGAAATGCTACCCTGGCTTTGCCCATCCATGTCTTTACATTTGCATCAGACCCACCTTGTTTATCAATGATGCTGCCCAGGTATGTTAGGATTTCCACATGTCCTAAAGCATTTCCATCAAGTGTGATTTGATTGGTGCGTGCTGTATTGTATTGGAGGATCTTGTTTTTCCCTTATGTATGTTGATGCCTACTGTTTTTGCTACACTGGCCGTCTTCCTTACTTTTTACTGGTAGTTCCAGAAAGCTTCTTTGTTGGTTCATACAGTTGTTTCATGATTCCCTCTCTTTCAGCTTTACTATCGTTGTTAGGTCTTCCACATATTTTTGCTTACCGGCTCTGATGCTGCTCTTCGCTTCTTTATTTACTTTTGAGTATTCAACTTGTTCCTTTTCTTTCTCTGCTCTTGTCCGGTTGATATTGATTGCTGCCTTCTTATTCTTCCTTTCTTGAATCTTATCCAACGTATCAATGGAGATTCACTCCTTGTGATGGTGGTTCGTTCCCTTGACCCAGTTTATGTCGTCCTAGGATGTCTTCATATTCACTAGATCATACTTCTTGAATAATATTGTCGAACCCTAATCTTTCTGATTGCTGTGACAATCACAGGGGAATAGGTCTAGCTAATATAGCGTCTAAATTGTTAGCCTCAATTATCCTTAGACACCTAACTAGTGCTCGTGAAGAGCAGACTAGAGAAAACCAGGCTGGTTTCAGACTTGGACGTGGATGTATAGACCACACTTCCACTCTACGACAGGTCCGGGAACACAGACACACATTTAGGCGTCCTACAATAGTTGTCTTCCTGGACCCTGAGGCGGCATTTGACTCAGTGGATCGTGATGTTCTGTGGCAGTGTCTGTCATTAAAAAGTGTGCCAAAGAAGTACACTAACCTCATGCAAGCTCTCTACTCAAACACCACTGGTCGGGTGAGAGCTTATGGCAAACTGTCACCGGAATTCAGAACTTCAAGTGGTGTCCGCCAGGGATGTCCACTTTCTCCATTCTTGTTTAATTTTGTCACAGACATGCTTTTGGAGTTGACATTATCCTCGTTAGATTGTTCATAGGTGGATCTTCTATCAGGAGGATCGCTTATTGACCTAGACTATGCCGATTACATAGTTCTATTTGGAGAAGACGCTGACAAAATGCAGTCTTCTGACCACCCTAAGCAACAATGCAAGCATGTTCGGGATGCGGTTCTCAACCTCGAAATGCAAAATGTTACTTCAAGATTGGCTTGAGTCGGCACCTGAACTAGAGATCGCGAGTGAAGCAGTTGAGTGTGTCGACCGCTTCACTTGTCTGGGGAATCTCATCAGCGCTGATAGTCTCTTGACTGACGAAATCTCAGCACGGATACAGAAGTCTCGACTGGCTTTTGCCAACTTGCGTCACTTATGGCGTAGGCGAGATATCCGTTTTCTGACCAAAGGACGAGTGTACAGCGCGGTAGTTCGCTCCGTCTTACTTTATGGCTGTGAAACATGGCCATTCAGAGTAGATATTCGTAGGTTACCGGTTTTCGATCATAGGTGTTGTCGAAGCATTGCTCGAGTATCGTGGGACAACCGAGTAAGCAATGCTGCCATTAGGAAGTGAGTACTAGGTGAGGATGGCAGGTCGATAGATGAAGTGGTGAAACTTCATCAATTGAGTTGGTTGGGACATGTGTTGCGTATGCCTAATCACCGACTGCCTCGTCGAGCTCTGTTTCGCGATGTAGGAATAGGTTGGACGAAAGCTGAGGGCGGCTAGACGAAAACATGGCAGAAATACATGAAGTCACTGACAAGTGGATTGAGCCATGTCGGTAGGTATCGAGTACCCGGTCGGGGTCCGCGAGATGTTAATAATCGATGGTTAGAAACCCTGAATGATATGGCTCAAAATCGTTTGCAGTGGCGCCGGTGCATTTATTCTTTGTGTTCTTTCAAATCCTAATCTTCTGGATTCTGGGTTTTTATCAGCCTGCGCCTAATCTGACTCCGCTCCTCATCTCACTCAGAGCCAGAGCCAGGCGGGATTAGCTTTCGAGCACCCATCAGTTCGGTAGATGCTTCTGAAATCCACGGCTTCTCCCTAACCTTATGGTTTACCTTACTGGTAGATATCACTGTTGTTTCGGCAGCTTTTTGAATATCATTCCAAGCTGCCTCAGGGTGGGCATCACTTACTATATGGCTGCCTAACTGTTTTCTAATTATTCCTGAAATATATTCTTGGCTTTATTATCATTACCTAGAGCCATAAGAGGTTTCCTTGCGATACTTTTGCTACGTCCTAGAGCATGGTCTGAGTCTAAACAAGTGCTCCAGAATGAGCGGCAGTCTTCAACAGAGCCTCTCCTCTCTCCTTCCGACTACGTACCGTCCCGTTTAGTCGGACAACGCATAAGCGACTGTCTATCGGGATCCAGTCTAAGAGAGCTAGTCCTGCCCTACGACTTAATACTATACCTACGCCAGCGAGGCCACGGGAGGCAACATCAGGGCTTCCTGAAACACGGAGTGTAAACCGTGTTGTGTCTCTGTCTGCACTAGGTGAAATCAAATTTATGATTTTACTTGGATCTTGTATGCGCGTTTCGGAGACTCAACATACATCGATCGTCCGGGATTCCGGAGTTCTAGCTAGTGAAGCCTGTTGCCCTATTTGGTGTAGGGTTCGAACATAAAAAGTTCCAATATGTAATTTAGTACGGGGTTTCAAGAGACCAAGAATAACGTTTCGTGAGCTTAAACCGTTTGCTTCAGTGGCGCGAGGTGATAAACTATCGAAGGAAGAGTTGATCGAGGAAATAAGAGAGTTATTGGGAGGTGTAGAAAAGATTTGATTATAAACGATTTGGTCTCGTGTACTTTTACGGGTATGAGGGCGGATATAACTTCCCTGCTGCCCACACCGTGGAAGAGCTTTTCTTGAGGAACTTGAAAAGGAACGTAGACTAGTGTCGGTCTTAGAGACCTGGGAGCGTGACCGAGGAGCCCAAATGACAGGTGTTTGAGGCCGGTCACGCACGGCCCTTTTTACGAGAAGTTTGTAAAGTGTTAGCCTCGTTTTTGTTTAAAAAGCCTTAACGCCGGAGATGAAGATCCGTGAGGTAAGGTGAGGTGTGACATTTTTAGAGTCGACTTTTTCTAACTCCTCCCTTCCTTGTGAGAAGTCAGCAACGCTGCAGATGCTTTTTGTCCGAGGGAAACACCTAACTGCTGTCACACCTCTCTACAGTCAGCAGTACGATTTCGCCCTCAGACCTTTGAGTAGCTGCTTTTAGTCTCATCGTTCTCCAATCAACCTTCCTAGCATGGTAGAACCTTCAGGAACATATATTCCAACCATTTTAGCTTGGTTGGGTGATCACTATAGGCAAGCCCGACCACCACGTCAAGGTAACAGCTACGATCAGGAATTCTAGTCACCACTCCAGTTAAATAAAGATCTCAAGTTGTACATGGTATTAGTTGAATCCTAGGTACCAAGAGTTATTCTCATCTTTAAAAGCTGGATAACCGCAGCAATCAGTTTACTCTTTTGGAAAAGAATTTTGTTTGGACTTTCTCAATATATACCAAGTGAAGGTTTATGTTTCATTCCTTCTGTCTGATTTGTTTTTGATTCCTGCTCTAGCTGTAAAAATGGACAGACCTGAGCCTACCATACAAAATATTTTGGACTCAAATACTTTGCGTTGGATTTTCGTTGGAGGTAAAGGTGGAGTTGGGAAAACGACATGCAGTTGCAGCATTGCTGTTCAAATGGCTAAAGTGCGTGAGCGTGTCCTGATTTTGAGCACAGATCCTGCTCATAACCTTTCGGATGCATTTGACCAAAAATTTTCGAAAAATCCTACTAAAGTTAAGGTAAATAAAAGGCTTGATTGTGTTTTCTTTTTGGTGCTACATTTATATTTAGTTTATTTTCGTTTGCTTTAGTGATGCAGGCGTTCCGGTGTCTCAAGATACTAAGTGCTCAAAGAGAATAAGATTTTTTCTAGTGTTTACCTGGTGAGAATATTTTATTGGAAAACAAAGGATTATATATCAGAGGTTCTGTTTATTGTTATTTTCTTTTCAGAAGACTATTCAGATTTAAGGTGAAAATTCAGGAAAGTATACTGATGACAGAAGGTCAATGGTTTGTGTTAGTTTAGTAAGCTTCTTTGATTGCCTGTTCTTCCCTTGAATAGATCAATCAAAGGTGCGGACACCAATTCTTCCTGTAGTAGGTTTCAAAAGTTGATGACTTTGTAGGAAACCTGTTTTCTCTGATATTTTTTCAACTCTTCGGTTTTAACCCCTTAGTTTCAACTACAAGGCAGTGGTCTTAGTCTTAAGGTCATGGCTTACTATTATCCCTGGATCATTGTGAGGTTGGGCTAAGAGCATCGACACTTTCCTCATGTTGTAGTTATTTATCTTTGTATTTGTAATGTGCATGTAAACACAGTCTCATTGATAAGCATCAGCCACAATTTAGACCAGCTAATTAGAACGCCTAAGTCGGTGTGGAGTGCATATATATCTGCATCTTTCGTTACTTCTCTTCAGATAGCATTAGGGACTTAACAATACGTAGTAGTTTATTTACATACATTATATAAAGAAAACAACCATGCAATACTCCTCTAAGTACTAGTTTTCATAAAGAATATTTCAAAGTTATTTTTACTTTCAGCTGACGATTTGCGAAAACGTTTTCGACCTATTTTCAAAGAGGTCCGGAAATTCCTAAATCTTCCAGTTTCAAAATGTGGCTGCTATACAGCGTCTCATCAAGTTCTGACTTCCCGTCATTGGACAACTCCCCCCATTACCTCTCGTCATAAGGGAGTGCTCACTAGTGACTAGCTTCGTGAGGAGTGGAGTTCAACCCTGTGGGGTGTAGGCAGTAAATACCAGAGATAAATGTGTGAGGTCGCGTAAATCTGTAGATTGATCAGGTTTAGACATTAACACCGTTGAATGCCGGCCCAGTGGTTCAGAGGCTAGGTGTTCGCACGCAATACCGGAGGTTCTGAATTCGAATCCTGCGAGGTGTATGAGTCGTGGATGCGCGCTGCAAATGAGTCGCATACCTGGACAAAACAGTCGTCAAGTGCTTCCAGGTTTTCAATGGTGGTCTACCAATTATTGACTGATGATTTTAATGTGCAAAAAATAAGGGAGTTAGTCGTACATGAGAATCTCTTCGTGAAATCTTACTAATCACTGTTTAATAAGTTATTGGCTTCTATCGGTAACAGTAGACAACTGCTCAGACTTATCAATAAAACTGGTACTAGAGACCCGGCTGTTAAAAGAAAGACGGAACTTTTACCCAATCTCGATCCAGGAGATAAGATCAATGGGCAGAAAACTTTAGGTAGCAGTTTGACTGGTCTTCAGCCACACTCCAGTTACCTGCCATCACCAGTCAACCAGAATAACAAGTTAATGTGAGTCTTCCAGCTCCTAATGAGGTTGTAAAGGTTATTGGCGACCACAAGAGAGGGAAAGCAGCAGACTTTGATGGATTAACTCCTGAGTTTTTACCGCTGGTGGTCCAGTTTTAACAGTTAGATTGACTGAGATCTTAGGTAGGATTCGGGAACTGGCCTAACTAGAGCTCGTGAAGAGCAGACTCGAGGAAACCAGGCTGGTTTAGACCAAATATTTGCCATTCGTCAGGTCCTAGAACACAGACACACGTTCCAACATCCAACAATAATTCCATTTCTCGACCTTAGGGCGGCGTTTGACTCTGTCGATCGTGAGGTTCTATGGCAGTGTCTGTCATTGAATGGAGTACCAAAGAAAAGTATTAACCTTGTACGGGCTCCTACTTGAACACTAGCGATCAAGTCGGTGTTTATGGAGAACTGTCATTGGAATTGATAACGTCAAGTGGTGTTCGTCAGTGTCGTCCATTAAAAACATGCTTTTAAAGACGACACTCATCGTCTGACACGAAGAAAATGCCAGACACAAGAACGTGCACTGATGCTACCTAAAGAAGCCCAAAACACATGTATAGGATAGGAATCTCATGAACCTAAGATCATCAAAATATCCTTCAAAATAAATAAAAATGGTATTACAGTGGATGTCATTCAGTGCTATATGCCTACCGTGAGATTTACTTATTTACCTGGAATATGCCGATGAGAGTTTTATTTGGTGAAGACGCTGATAAAATGCAGTTTCTGCTGACTACCCTAAGCAACAACGCAAGCATGTTCAGGATGCGATTCTCTTCGTCCAAATGTAGAATGTTGCTTCAGGATTCGCTTGCATCGACACGTGAATTAGTGATAGAGAGTGAAGAAGTTGAACGTGTCGACCGCTTCGCCTATCTTGGAAGTCTCATCAGTACTGATGGCCTAATATCTCGCGACATCTCAGCACGGATACAGAAGCCAACCTGCGTCACTTATGGCGTCGGCGAGATATCTGTCTACTAACCAAAGGACGAGTTTACTGCATTACAGTCCACTCAATCCTACTCTACGGGTGTGAAACATGTCTAGTAAGAGTTGAGGATATTCGTAGATTACTGGTTTTCGATCATAGAGGTGTCTTCTAAACACTGCTCGTATATCCTGGGACCATCGAGTAAGCAATGCAGGTTTAGGAAAAGGGTACTGGGTAAGAATAGAAAATCAATCGATGAAGTAATGCCTCTATTAGCGATGTTTGGTGATTGATGGGTAGGTTGGAAGGAAGCTAGAGGCTAATGGGTGTAGAATACCAGGTTGTTTCGCGATACAATAGTAACTAATGGTTAGACACCTTAAATGACATTGCCTCAAAGTCGTTTACATTGGTGCAGGTGCATCCATTCTTTGTGTTCGTAATTCCTCGTGACCATTTCTCTTTTCTTAAATTTATTTCACTGAATTATACTTCTTGAGTAATATCTTACAGGTTATTATTGGATGATCAAGAAATGTCTAAAACTAATCATCAATGAGTAAACATCTATTTTCGGGAGTTTGTTGAAAATTTCATTTTGTACTGAATATGTAATATCAAATAAAGTTATTGCCATTATTATTATTAGTAAATTAGTTACTTAATTACAGACCTAATTAAATGGTGTTTAGATTCGAGACAGTGTGTAATAGCGAGAATAGTGAACTAATTAAGCAGATTGAGATATTTCTGTGACTTGTATGCAGCTTTCTTAAACTTCAAGGATACTCTCTCCTTCGAAATGCTTTCACATGACCACGCGTGTATAACTACTGCCAGGGACATCCTACTCACTGCTTTCTCGTGGCGAGGATGTTCACGAAATCGACAGGAGGAAAAGTAAATGTCCGGCCAGGGCACATACCAGGTTGGTCGGTACGGAGGATCCACCTGGGGGAAGTGGTAAACCCTGATTCCAAGCTAACTGTGCACATGAACTTCAGAATCCTGAATCTACTGATGGCACTGACTACCGTGAAACAGTATTTCCTAACGTTGCGTTACTGGCTTGTGGATCGAATCTGTAGGTCAATGGCTTGGGAACTGTATTTGTATTAAAATTATGTGTTCCGGTTTAGACACCTGGGTAATAGTAACCCAGCTCACAAGAATTCACTGATTTCTGTGGCGTATACTTATTTAGGTGTTGCTTCATACCAATAGTTTTGTTTAAATAAGTAAATATATACTGTTCAGGATGTTTATGATTTTGGTTTTTAGGGTTTTGACAATCTTTTTGCCATGGAAATTGATCCAAATGTGAACTTAGGAGAGTTTGAAGAGGATCTTGTTGGTTCCGAAGAAGCAGCAGTTTCTGCTGATATACGCAAAACCATAGGTCACTTAATGACTTCATTCCCTGGGGTGGATGAATATATGTCTTATACAGAGGTGTTTCGATTGGTTCGTAATATGGATTATTCAGTCGTCATTTTTGATACAGCTCCCACTGGCCACACTCTACGATTATTGGCGTTCCCAGAAGCTATGGAAAAAAGCCTTGGCAAAGTAGTATCGATGAAAAATCAAGTGGGTTGTAATTGTGAGATAAAATGTTCCAGTTTGATCAACTTTTTCAAAGACAATTTTAATTTACTAGTTGAATGTTTGCTAAATAACTTTTAAATCTGCATGATACCTACAATTAAACACAGCTGTGTCTCCATTGTTTTCTAGATAGGTGTACTCAAGACATTTTGGAAAGCTAGCCCATCTTCTCATGCTTATGTCCGTTACTCCTCATGGAGCATAGATCACTTGGAAGCATTGTCCAACCAGTTCCGTCCTGGGTCTACCTTTCCGGTTCTTCCCGATTGCTATTCATTCTTTTCATGTTGTCTTCAATTCTCGGTGGTGTGCTATTAGGTCTGATTCCTCCTTTTGCTTGAGGGTTCCAAGTTGAGTGATTCTCGTAACGTGTGTCCTTAATTTCTTCCTCAGTTGGAATCTTGTTTGTTCTCTCCCACCGTAAGTTGTTGCTGATTGTATCTGGCCAACAAATCCGCAGTATCTTGAGTAAACAACTATTTATTGTTGACCGCTTCGCTTAACTTATCAGTCTCATCAGTACCGATGGCCTGGTGTGTGACGAAATCTCAGCACGGATACGAAAGGCTCGACTGTCTTTTGCCAACCTGCGTCACTTATGGCGTAGAAGAGATATCTGTCAGAACTGTCCACTGCATCTCTTACTTTCCATGAGATGTTGACGTTTTCATAATCCATTCGACCACCAGAAGAAAGAGAATGGGTGGTAGTGAGTATTCTTGTACGACACCTGTTTCTACTTGGAATGAGTCTATGAGTTGCCTTCCATGCATGATTTTGCAGTTTAATCCGTCATAAGAATTCTGTATGATGTTGACAATTTTCTCAGGTACACCACAGTGTGGAAGACGTCTCCGTAATGTTTTCCTGTACATACTGTCAAATGCTTTTGCATGGTCAAAGAAGTTGATATATAGTGATGAGTTCCATTCAAACGATTGTTCCACAATGATCCGTAGTGTCACAATTCGGTCGGAAAACGATCTATCTCTAAGGGATCCAGTCTGTTGGTCTCGAAGTTGCGTGTCTACTGAATCTTGCATTCTGTTTAACAGCACTCTGTTGAAGACTTTTCCTGGTATTGAGAGTATAGTGACGCCTCTGTAGTTCTGACACTTGCTGAGATCTTTGTTTGGTATGTTGAAGAGGTGTCATTGTTTCAGGTTTGTTGGTGGTTAGATTTAGTCTACCCTAAGAATGTCACACCTCACTTTACCTCACAGATATCCGTCTACGGCGATAAGGCCTTTTACACAAGAACGGAGCTATCACTACAAAGTTCCTATAAAAAGGCCGTGCATGACCGACCTCAAACACTTTTCATTTGTGCTCGGTCACGCTCCCAGGTCTCTAAGACCAACACTAATTTACCTTCCTTTTCAGGTAGGTTCCTCAAGAAACACCCTTCCACGGTGTGGGCAGCAGGAAAGTTACATCCGCCCTCATACCCGTAAAAGTACACGAGACCAAATCGGTTACAGTCATATCCTTCTTACACCCCCTAACATTTCTCTTATCTCCACGACTAGTCCTCACATCCCTTTGTCACCCCGCACTGCCTATGCAACCGGTTCGAGTTCGCGAAACGTTATTCCTGGTTTCTTGAAACCGCGTTTCCGAAAGGCGGATACAGGATTTGAGTAGCTTCATTCATCTGATCTTACCATATGAAAACAAAGAAGTAGCTCGATTTACTGTATGTGTATCTGGAAGCCCTGCTGCTGCTTCCCTTGGCCTCGCTGGTGTAAGTATAGCATTGATTCCTGGGGTAGAACTCGTTCTGCCAGACAAGATTGCAGTAGATAGTCGCTTATGTGCTGTTTAACTAAACGGGAGAGTAAGGACTGAGATAGGTGGGGGGGGGGGAAACCCGCAGTTACCGCTGATGTCTCTGCCTACGGTCCTACTGACTGCAGCTCAGACGAGGTAAAAGATGAATCCTACAGAAAGCTTTCGGACCTCCTGCAGGAAGCTAGGCGCTCTGATGTGGAAATAGTTGCTGGTGACTTGAATGTCCGAGTAGGTAGACTAAGCGGAAATGGAAAATAACTGGGTGGGTCTTATAGCGTTGCGGCTCAAAGAACAGATAATGGCAACTGTCTGCTGCAGCTATAGTCAACAAACTACCTACTTCTAGTATATACTGACTTTAGGCATGCAGAGAAACATCTTTTCACATGGCGACCCACAAAATCGATTCAACACTGGACTCAACTGGACTACGTCTCTATCAACCACCGAAGGAGAAGCTCAATAGCAGACTGCCACTCGTTCTGGACCTAATTTTTTGATTCAGATACTGCTCTAGTATGAGCGCGGATTTGTTTGCGGCTCACTGGACTTTAAGACAAGAAAACCCCTAAGAGTTCGACATCAAGATAGCAAAGCAAACAGTAAATTTCAAGAGCAACTAGAAGAACAATTTGGCAGCCATGTCCGTTATGCCCACACCAGGGCAGCTTAGAAGGATATCCAAAAGGCTGTGGAAACAGCTTTTATATCTGCTAGTAAGGTAAACCATAAGGTTAGGGAGAAGCCGTGGATTTCAGTAGCATCTACCGAACTGATGGGTGCTCGGAAACTCATCCCATCTGGCTCTGATAAGCACATGTTGATAAAAAGCCTACTCAAAGATAGCGGAAAATGGTGGGTAGAGAAAGCAAGGGCGATGGACGATACGTAATAGTAGACAGTTATCCTGCCTTATAAAGGAAACCGGTTTTAGAAATCCATGTGTTAGCGAAACTATTCCAGAAAAGAATGGTTGTATCATTCATTCCCAAACCAGAAGATTGGATCGAAGGGCAGAGCACTTGACGGATTAATTCAACTGGCCTTCAGCCACAGTTTGGTTGCCCACGATCCCCAGTCAACATGAATTGCAGATCGATATAAAGCTTCCGAGTCTTTATGAAGTTGAGAAACCGATGGGAAGTATGAAGTGAGCGAGTACGGAAGCGCCTGACAGACTTACACTGAGTGTTGTAGGATGGTGGTCCAGTTTCAGCAGTTAGAACGACTGAGATCTAACTAATGTAGTTTCCAAATTGTTAACCTCGATAATCCTTAGACGCCTACCTAGATCTGGTGTAGAGCAGACTAGAGAAAACCGGGCTGGTTTTCGACCTGGACGTTGCTGTATAGACCACATGTTCACATTACGTCAGGTCCTAGGACAAAGACACACTTTCAGACGCCTCACAATAATAGTACTTCTCGACCTTAAGGCGACATTTGACTCTGTAAATCGTGAGGTTCTGTGGCAGTGTCTCTCATTAAAAGGTGTACAAAAGAAGCACATTAAGTTTATTCAGGCTCTCTGTTCTAGCTTGTTGACTTAAAATATGCCGTTAACATCTTTCTACTTGGTGAAGACGCTGAAAATATGCTGAGTCTTCTGAACACCTTGAGCAACAATGCAAGCATGTTCGGGATGCGATTTTCCCACTCGAAATGAAAAATGTTGCTTCAGGATTGGGTTGCATCGGCACCTGAACTAGATATCGCGATTGAAGCAGTTGAGTGTGTCGACCGCTTCACTTATCAGGGGAATTTCATCAGTGCTGGTAAGAATGGCAGATTAATAGATGAAGTGGTGAAACTTCATCAGTTGAGGTGGTTGGGGCATGTGTTACGTATGGCTAACCACCGACTGCCTTGACGAGCTTTGTTTTGTAGTGTAGGAATAGGTTAGAAGAAAGCTAGAGGCGGCCAAACCAAAACGTGGCAGAAATCCATGAAGTCATTGACGAGTGGACTTAGCCATGTCGGTAATTGTCGACTACCTGGTTGACAATTACATCTCTGTGCTGATGTGGTATGGCAACATGAACTGATGTACTTACGCACGAAGTTCTACGCTGCATCTCACTGACTGACTGACCTGTTGACTGAATAAATCTCAGCACGGATACAGAAGGCTCGATTGGCTGTTGTCAACCTTCGTCACTTATGATACAGGCGAGATTTCCGTCTGCCAACCAAAAGACGAGCGTACTGTGCAGCAGTTCACTCCGTCCTACCCTGACTGGCCATGTTTTGCAGCCATATTGTAGAAGATATTCGTAGGTTGCTTGTTTTCGATCATAGGTGTCTCCGAGGTATTGCTCGTGTATTATGGGACAACCGAGTAAGCAATGCAGTTGTTCGGAAACGGGAACTAGGTAAGGATGGCAAGTCAATAGATTATAAGTATTGAAACCCCGTCAGTTGAGGTGGTTGGGACATGTGTTACGAATGCCGAACCACCGACTGCCTGGACAAGCGATGATTTGTGGTGTCGGAATAGGTTGGAGGAAAACTAGGGGCGGCCACACCAAAACATGGCAGAAATCCATGAAATCACTAGCAAACGGACTGAGTCATATTGGTAGATGTAGACTACCTGGTTGGGGTCGGCGAGACGAAAGTCACCAATGGTTAGAGACCTTGAATCACGTTTGCAATTCCCCATTATCTCTATCGTTCTCTTCCTAAAGTTATCTCATTGAACTATACTTCCTGAATAATATCTTCGAACGCTAATGTTCTCTATTTTCGCTAATACTTGCATTACCTCTACCACTATGGTATTTGAACTGATAGTTTTGTCTGTGTGCTAATGCGGTATGGCAACTTGGACTTATGTACTTAGGTACGAAGTTCTACGTTGTAATTGACTGACAGCACTATGTTGAAAACCTTTCCTGGTTTCGAGAGTAGAGTGACGTCTCTGTAGTTCTCACACTTGCTGATATTTCTCTTTTGTATGTTGATCAGGTATTCTTGTTTCGAGGCTGTCGGGATTTGTTCCTTCTTCTTCGAAATCTTTCTGTACCTTTGGTATTCTATTTTGTTTGGACTTTCAAGGCTAGGAGCGAATTTCCTGCCGATCAATTCGATTTGTTGGATAATGTAACTGCGTCTGCCGGAATAGCTAACAAACTTCTCATTTCACCTGCGAATATTAAATGTCAATAAAAATTGTATTCATCTTGTTTCACGGCTTCTCTTTAGAAATTATCACTACCTATCATGGTGAATTATATCGTTACATCTAATTTTTAAAGTGCTTGAAAACGGTTCAAGGTAATCGTTTACTAGTATTACATAATACATGGTCGAATCATCTAAATCTATTTGAAATTATTCATGTGCCTTACTATTGTTTGATCTCTTGCACGTGAATAATGGTTGAAATGTTTCCTTAATTAACTGTCTGTTACTTTGCAATTACATTTACTCATATTTCACTGCTATGAAGTTCATCACATTTTATACAGTGTACAGAATCCTAAAGAAGGGTCCCAATGTCCCACCAACCAATTGTTCAGGATGGATTATTCCAGTTAAATTCTTACCGTTCATCGAGTCAGTTTAATCTGTTAGGGCTATCAAAATAATACATCATTCCAAATCATAATATTTTTGACATTCTAATATTAGTAAACACTCTTCCTCTTAGTTCATGAGTATTGAAACCTATTTTCATCCTATGAATGTTAGTAACCTGTCTAAATTTTACACATGGTACTACTATATCGACACATTCTATATCCTTTATCTGTACATTATGATGTTTTGCATGTAATCACAAAATACATGTATTTTATTTTTCTCTTTTTGTCTCTTACTATCATTCCAAATGAAATTGAAGTTTGTTTTTTCTAGTATTTTTCTTTTGTGTTTTCAAAATATTTCTAGTTTGCTCCAATTTTAAACCAGTTAATGGGCCTAGTCGGAATGAACAGTACGCAAGGTGGTGATTTAACAAATGCAATAGAAACACGCCTACCTATCGTTAAAGAAATAACCAAGCAGTTCAAAGATTCCTCTCAGACTACATTTGTATGTGTTTGTATACCAGAATTCCTAAGTATGTATGAAACAGAACGCTTGATCCAAGTAAATTATTTTATTTCGGGGGATCTTTATCTTGAATTTCTTAAAAATAATTGTTGTGTTTTACTACTGTGTTCTGACAAGACATTATTACAGAAAGTAAATTCCGTGACATATTTCTGCCAATATATATATACATATATATATATATATATATATATATATATATATATATATGTATATATATATATATATATATTTGAAATTTTCTAAATGTTCATTATTGGTATCATATCATCAGTCTAAAAAGGTTATTATCAACCAGAAATAAATATCATTTCATGAACTCACTAGACTCTTAAGTTAAATCATTGATCATGTGCTACTTACTATTCATAAATGTGTTACTTCTCAAAAACTGGCCATTTTGTTTACTGCTGTTTCAAATTATGGTTTCTGTCATAACAGGCACTAGATTCTTGCAAACTCACTTTCACATACCTCAGCATGCCATTCTGACCAGTAACTTAGTAGTAGAAAAAGAATAATACTCGAATTCCTACCAAGTTTCACAAGTAAGCTCGTAGACCACCAGATTGTTGACTTTAAAGCACAGATTTTCATTTGAATTCATGTATTGATATTTTCGCTATTTGAGTATCAAGTAATGTAATTCTGCTTAGCACTGAAAGGCTTATTTCCTGTACTAGGAAGAAAACCCATAGATTCATACTGATTCATCAGTTTACATGCATAAATCAATATCTTATATTCGTTATTGGAACCTTTAACTTCTAAAAAGCCAGTCGAAACCATTGTTATGTAAACAATCAAATTTCTAAAATACCATATAAGCTATGTGTAAACTTAGATTTTATTAAAGTTTTCTAAAACTGTTTAAGATCATATAAAACAGCTTTAGCGTTGGTTGGTGCAAATATTTTTTGCTGAGGACAGGTCCCATAAGTCATTCACCAGGTACTTTGTTTCCTTGGTTTAGTTCTCGCCGAACAGGGGTTGTAGATGCTGATGAGTCCCACACTAGGACGAAACAACCGTACAATGTTCCAGTTTTCTAATACTGGTCTAACAATTGTTGATTCGTAATTTCTATTTCTTGTCGAATCCTTACTGCCTCATGTCTTTTGCACCCCTGGGTTGTCAATAGCTAGACGTTTGAACACCCTTTTATATATGAACAAAAAGTCAGTTAAGCTATTAACGCCACTGAGGTTTCAATATTTAGATATAAATAAACCAACACATTACAGCATGCTTATCAGTCTAAGAAATCTCATCATAATCCTGGAGTGTATTAAAAATATCCAGTTATAGTAATTTAATAATTGATAAAAGCGAGGATAAACACCAACTTATATTATTTGAATATCAGCATTATAGATGGAATTCATAATACCACCCTAATCAAGGGTATTGATACGATAAAACTATTAATAATACTAGTGTTAATGATAAAACGATAACAGTAGCAGATTTGCACTAGTGATAAACGATACCAAATATAGCGGCTAATCTCAAAGCTCTTAGGGTGCATAATATCAAATTATAACACGACGTGATCCCGTTAAGAACTAATATTAAGTAGAAGTATCAATTAAGACTCACATTTTTAACAGCCCAGAAATGCGGTGAAATAATAAAGGTCGGTTGGTCCAACAACATGATGAATTGTCCGTTATGGTTATACTTACTTGATTTTAAATCTAGTGTAGAAACATTTCTACCGCTGGTCTAAAATATGTGTTTCTGATGTATCCACTCCTTATCACATTCTTTACTAGCAGAAGTTATTCATCAGTAAACGTAAACACACGAGCAAAGTATAACGAATATTATTAGAATCCGATTAGAGTGAAAAATTACCATAAGTATTCTGTTAATTTGTTTCTTCGGAAAATGCGCTACCCTGTTTGCTCACGGTTTATCAATACAGCTGCACTACGAAATATGAGTGTATTTACTGACATCAAAGTTTGATGTCTATACCATATTTTCCACATTATTTTTTTCAATTCACTGACATCTGTTTTTGATATCAGTGCTTCGGTAATATAAGCAGTGTAAACTTGTCAACATATCTTTTCTTATTGTTAGCGATGATCTGAAAATAAAACGTTGCATTCAGGATCTAATATACTTAGATAGTTAAGTCAGTCAGCAACAATGTAGAACTTGGTACGTACCTACATCATTCCAATTTTCCGTACCACATTAGTATAAAGACGCAATTGGTAATCCGAATTCCATAATGGTAGAATTAATAGAAGTATGAGCAGTAATCGGAAAGATTAGGGTTTGAATATGTTATTTAAGGACTATAATCTAGTAAAATAAGTTAGAGAAGAGATAGATGAAGGTTGTGAAAAATGTTGTGCTCAGTTTTTTGTTTAGTTTTCACTTTTTACCCACTTTTTTTATACTCAATAACAATCCTAAAATTACTTCATTTTTAATAATGTTTGCTTAAATATTTTAAAAATTTAAGTCTTCAAAAACATTTAGCGATAGTTCAGGAATATGCCCTATTTACAACTCTTACTACAGGTAAACATGTCGTTTTGAGACTATTAATCTGGCATTAATTCTGTTAACTTAGGTCTATACACAATCTTGCCAGGACCTTTTCGTTTTGAGATTGTTTAGCGTGACTGACTACACATACGGTCCGATCTCCTAAGTAATTAACATACAAATAAACAAAGTGATCTAAATAACTGTTTCGATTCCTATTCACTTGTTCAAAATATTACATGAACAGCCTATTGATGAATGTTAACCCTTTTATTTGATGGAGGTTCCGGTCCATTTTTTCTCATCATTTAGTTTCAACAATGTTCTTAGGTCTGAATATTTCGTGTACTAGAAATAATCACACATGAATCGTATATTTTCATTTGACGAATTTATTTCGTAAGAAAATAATTGTTGGTCGTTCAATCTGTCCTACTATCAACTTGTACTTTTACCTATTATGTGTAGTGACGTAATCTATTTCATTGTTATTATTGACTCATAAATTGCCTTTGTTGGTTTAACATATTCATATCAATGTTCATGTTTATTAGATTAAAGCTTGATGACGGTCTAATCGAAAACAATTTTGTTGTTCTAATTTTCACAATGGAAATCTTTGATTTCAAATATCCATCTCTCATGATGGGTAATAATCATAAGAATAACATTGTTTTTCGTGGAAATCTATCATTAGGATATTTCCTAAATTTGCACCTATTTTCATTTTTTGTTGCATAGAATTTGTAACCATTTCATTTAATTTTATTTTTAAATTTATAGGAACTCACTGCTCACGATATTGACGTGCATAATGTCATTGTAAATCAACTGTTGTTTCCGAACTTATTATCACCTGATGCCTCGTCTGAAGATCGTTCGAATGAACCTCCGTCTAATTGTCGAATGTGCTTAGCACGTCATCGAATACAGTCGAAATATCTGGAACAAATTTTAGAATTATATGAAGACATGCATGTCATACAGTTACCCCAACTGGAAAATGAAGTACGAGGATTGAAGTCTGTTCAAAGCTTCTCCGAACTTCTTTTGACCCCATACCATAGGAAATAAAAATTTTATGGTTTTCACATTGTTTATAAAAATGATGTCGTTTGTAGATTTTAATGGGTTTTTTTTCTGATATAATATACATTTATTTTGATGAACTGAATTTTAAAAAAATGCTATTTAACAGTTTTTCATTATCTCTCTAACACCGAAAAAATTCTTGATAGCTTTCCATGCTAAGTCAGCACTTATCGTGTAGATGAAGTGTTTCAAAACAAAATTTAACGATTATCGGTCTGTGATAGTGAATGGAAAATGTGATCGATCATCGAGCGTGGACAGCTAAATGACCATTAAATGTATGATTTCATTTCCCCGTACTGATTTCCACTTCAGACTCACTGAATATTTCTGCTTGAAATTTTATGGAATATTATTTCTATCGTTTACTTTGGTTCTTTATTTTGGTCATGAATTGTGTATCTGATGTAACGTGACCTAGCCTCTGTTTAGTATACAGTTAGAGTATCTAGTTCAGTGGTTGCATAAACTCGGACATCCATTCGATCGCGGTGGGCTAAGAACATATCGGATAAGCCGCGTTATATTTCAGTAAATGAGTGTCTGAAATGGAGTTTTTATTTTTTGTTTCTATATTCGTTGTTTGTGTAAGATATTTGACTTCATTATGATTAGTGCATTTCTGGATAGTGTAGCCCCACATAAAATAATTGCATTTTAAGGATTCTAATAAACTTGAAAGGTGTATCATACGTCTATGCTATGTTGCAATTCCTCTTTAGCAAGCTTGGTATACCCATATTTTGCGCAGTTTACAATATGTCATGTGTTGCTTTAAAAAACTTTAATTATTCTGCACGCCTTTTTAAGAAAACAACAATCTTTTGAAGAAAAATTATAATCTCACAACTAAACGATTTAAGAACTCGAGGCATGGAGCGTTATAACCTCTTCAAATGGCTGTAGTTGTTTATGTTTAGCTATAAAAATGGGGTGAAATTACAATATGTATACCATCTCAACAAGGTAGTCTTCTCAACCGGTCAACACTACCATCTTCGAGTAAATATTTACAGAACTGCTTGACAGTGACCTGTCAGTCAGGATGCATTCGATTTCCTACCATTGCAATTATTTACCGTATGTAATAATCTCAAAATCAACATGAACGCAGTCTCATCGGTAAACTTGTCCAAGCTCAAGTTAGGTATGACCTATTCTGTAATGGCTTACACAAAATTTCATTTCTAGCAACAACACAAATATAATCAACCAATTGATCAAGCTTGAATTGGTGTTATTTCTACTTTTGCAAACTATTCGGTTTCATTTCTGAGGTGGCTATTCGGAAGACGATGACGATCTTCTCCATGGTTCAGATTATTTTAACGCATGCACGTAAACATGTCATTTGAGATGCTTGGATTATCACGAGTTTAGCTTATTCGGAAAATGAGGGCGAGGATCCAGCGACACGACATGCTACTCTAATCTGAGTATCTCAGCCCCCACTGAGTGAAAGAAGAAGACTTGATATGAAGTAGAACCTGTATTCTACAAGCATCCAGAAAGTACGAGGTCCGATTCCAGAAGAGAATCAGGATCGCAGACTAAGGATCCGCTTCCGGGTCTTAAAACGTTACAGATAATGCGTATTTATAGAGTTAGGTCGAATAAGAAACAAGATTAAAATCCGTGACATTGACAGTTAGGACGACTATTAGGAAACAACATTTGAAGTAACAGTGATAGTCAGGACGACCAATGGGGAACAACATTGAAGTATGTGACATCGACAGTTAGGATGACCATAATAGTGACCAGTAAGAATCGACCAATAATTCTCTCCGGAAATTAGATGAATATCCTAATAATTATTTTGTCAGTTATATCAGCGTGTATCTCACTGGGACCCTTTATCAATCTGTTGATTTCGAGATTTTATTCTGATTGCTAAATATTTTTCTGTCGAAACGTTTCAAAAATGTTAGAGGTTGTTTATGAGGGTATATAATATCTAGTGTTAATCGTAACTGTAAAAGATAAAATAATTTTCAATAGCTAGAAATCTACGATATCAAAATATTGGTCGATCCATTTCGAATTCTGAACATTCAACTTATAGCAGACGCAGCAAACAGCTGCATGCGTTCGTTTTTCAATGTAAAAATAATCAGTGTAGGCATGATGGAGAACATTTATTGTTCAAAGTGAGGATGCTATGATTCCTAAGTTGGATCGACTGTGAAGATTCCATTGTTTCGAGCAACATCGTCAGCATGTACTATAGAATATTCACTTCTGTGAACCTTGGTTTCGGAAACAGTTTTCTGGGTGAGAACAGTTCTATTATTAATCAAAAAAGGGATATAGACAATTACCTAAATAATATTATACTGTTCCGATCCGAAATTCACACAATGAATTTCCAATTCTGGAAGAATGCGTCCTTCCAGTCAAGAACACGAAGTTACCGCAGAGGTATCAAATCCGATATGGCTTTAGCCATACATTTACAGTTTAGATGGAAACATATAAACTCCAATAAAAGTATACGAAATAGGAATTATAACAAAATACAAATATTAACATCACAAATTGGGACTAAACAGAGTACCAAAATATTGAACAGAAAGAGTTAGCAAGATCATAACACAAATATATACATAGAGGGATTTTCCGAAAAACGAAGCCTTCAAAATGGATTGTACAATCCTTTTGATGTTCCTTTCGCTTGTTCGTAGTTTTTATTGTTGAACTGGAAATATGTTGTGAAGGGAGGGATTTTCCAAAAAACGCCTGCATCATAAGTGACGAAGGTTGACAACAGCCAATCGAGCCTTCTGTATCCGTGCTGAGATTTATTCAGTCAACAGGTCATCAGCACTGATGAGATTCCCCAGATAAGTGAAGTGGTCAACACACTCAACTACTTCAATCGCGATATCTAGTTCAGGTGCCGATGCAACCCAATCCTAAAGCAACATTTTGCATTTCGAGTAGAGAGCCAGGATAAGGTTAATTTGCTTCTTTTATACACTTTTTAATGACAGACACTGCCACAGAACCTCATGATTTGCAAGGTCAAGTGCCGCCTTAAGGTCGAGAAGTGCTACTATTGTGAGGCGTCTGAAAGTGTGTCTTTGTCCTAGGACCTGACGTAATGTGAACATGTGGTCTATACATGCATTTCCAGGTCGAAAATCAGCCTGGTCTTCGTCCATACGAGCTCCAGTGATGCATCCGTGTATTGATCCTGCCCATCCATCTGATCTTCTGGTTTATCACAAAAGTGTGGATCATTGTGACTCATTATTATATTCTGTACTTACTTACTTACTTACGCCTGTTACCCCCAATGGAGCATAGGCCGCCCACCAGTTTTCTCCAACCAACTTTGTCCTGGGCTTCCTTCTCCAGTTCTGTCCAATGTTTCTTCATTCCTCTCATATCTTTTTCTATTTCTCGGCGTAGTGTGTTCCTTGGCCTTCCTCTTTTCCTTTTGCCTTGAGGGTTCCATGTGAGGGCTTGTCTAGTGACGCAGTTGGGTGCTTTTCGTAGTGTGTGTCCTATCCACTTCCACCGCTTCTTCCTGATTTCCTCCTCCACTGGAATCTGACTTGTTCTCTCCCACAGTTCGTTGTTGCTGATGGTGTCTGGCCAACGAATACGAAGTATTTTGCGTAGACAGCTGTTAATAAACACTTGTATCTTCTGAATGATGGCTTTGGTAGTTCTCCATGTTTCTGCTCCATACAGTAGAACTGTCATGACATTTGTATTGAAAATCCTTATTTTGGTTTTGGTTGAAAGTTGTTTGGAGTTCCAGATATTTTTCAACTGTAGAAATGCAGCCCTCGCTTTGCCAATCCGCGCCCTCACATCTGCGTCCGATCCACCTTTCTCGTCGATGATGCTGCCCAGATATGTAAAGTTGTTAACGTCCTCGAAAGCATCTCCATCAAGCGTGATTTGGTTGGTGCATGTTGTGTTGCATCGGAGAATTTTTCTTTTTCCTTTATGTATGTTGAGACCTACTGCTGCAGAGGCTGCTGCTACACTGGTCGTCTTCTCTTGCATTTGTTGTTGCGTATGCGATAGAAGAGCCAGGTCATCTGTTAAGTCCAGATCGTCCAGCTGCGTCCTAATTGTCCAGTTGATACCGTGCTTCCCTCCAGATGTTGACGTCTTCATAATCCAGTCGATGACCAGGAGAAAGAGAAAGGGTGAGAGTAAGCAACCTTGCCCCACACCGGTCTTCACCTCGAACGAGCCTGTCAGCTGACCTCCGTGCACGATTTTGCAGTTGAATCCATCATAAGAATTCCGTATGATGTTAACTATCTTCTCAGGCACACCGTAGTGTCGAAGAAGCCTCCACAGGGTTTTCCTATCCACGCTATCAAATGCTTTCTCGTAGTCGATGAAGTTGATGTAGAGTGGTGAGTTCCATTCAATTGATTGTTCCACAATGATCCGTAATGTAGCGATTTGGTCAGTACACGATCGATCCTTCCGAAATCCGGCCTGTTGATCTCAAAGTTGGGCGTCTACGAAGTCCTTCATTCTGTTTAACAATACTGTGTTGAAGACTTTGCCTGGTATTGAAAGAAGAGTGATGCCTGTGTAGTTCTCACACTTGTTGAGATCGCCTTTGTTTGGTATTTTGATCAGGTATCCTTCTCTCCAATCTGATGGTACTTGTTCCTCATCCCAAATCTTCTTGAAGAGAATGTGAAATATTTTCGCAGTTGCTTCCACATCTGCTTTCATTGCCTCTGTTGGAATATGTCTGGTCCTGCTGATTTGCGGTTCTTGATTTGTCTGATGGCCATGCTGATCTCCTCTATTGTAGGTGCGCCAATATTAATTGGGAGGTCCGTGGATGCTGCTTCGATGTTGGGTGGGTTCAGTGGAGCTGGTCGATTCAATAGTTCCTGTAAGTGCTCTACCCACCTATTTCGCTGTTGTTCAGTGTTGCTGATTACTTTGCCTTCCTTGTTTTTCACTGGTCGTTCTGGTTTACGATAGTTTCCGGCGAGCTTCTTTGTTGTTTCGTACAATTGTCTCACGTTTCCTTCTCTTGCAGCCTTTTCTGCCGTCATTGCTAGATCTTCCACATATTTTCGTTTGTCAGCTCTGATGCTCTTCTTCACTTCCCTTTTTGCTTCTGTATACTCGGCTTGCGCCTTAACTTTCTCTGCTCTTGTTCGGCTGACATTCACTGCTGCCTTCTTGTTCCTCCTTTCTTCAATTTTTTCAAGAGTACCAACAGAAATCCATTCCTTGTGATGGTGCTTCTTGCGACCAAGGACCTCCTGACATGTTGAAGTGATTGCCTCCTTAATCCCTTTCCAATTGTTCTCCAATGTTGCTTCCTCTCCATTGAGTAGATCCTGAAAGGCCTGGAACCTATTGGTGAGGGCTA